GTCTTCTGGAGTGTTGGCTATTCCTGCCAGCTTGGTGTCATCCGCAAATTTGATGAGTTCCCCATCTATCCCCTCATCCAAATCATTGATGTTGAAGAGCACTGGGCCTAGAACAGAGCCCTGGGGCACCCCACTACACATTTCCCTCCATGTAGATGCGGTTCCATTGAGGACCACATGCTGAGTATGGCCGGTCAGCCAGCTACGAATCCATCTGGTGGTGATGCTGTCGTAACCCACATTTTTCTATCTTATCGAGTAAGATTTTTCTATCTTATCGAGTAAGATTTTTCTATCTTATCGAGTACTCATTGGAAGTATAGCTGTTTCTTAGTCCAACTTTTTCACAGGTTTTTAAGGTGATAGAAAAAGTGGCAAGGATTATACATTCAGCAATATTCAACAATAATTTTAAAGGAACATTTCAAACCTCACATAAGCATGAGCACATCACCTCTATGCTATTCATTAATGCTGCAGCTTCCCCCCCCCCGGGCTTCTGCATAGACTTAAAAAAAATAGTGTGGCTGCTTTGAGAGTCATAATAATGATCACTCTCAAAATTTCTCCAAGAGCCTAAAAAAGAAGGATCAGCTTTAATGAATACTAGAGATGCTATGTTCACACGAAATCTAATTTTCCTAATCATTTCTGAAACATGCATCGCACTAATATGCAGCCATGAGCTCCTGAAGGAAAAATATATATATAAATGTAAAAAAATTGTTCACTCATAGTGGGGGACACTGGAGGATACAGGAAAAAACTGCAGTTGCATTGTAAAAGTACAACTGCAACTTTCTTGGGAAAGAGGCTTGATAGCGTTTGTTCTGTTCACAGGATCTGGTTCGGCTCTGTATTTCTTTACACAGAGAGGAACAGATAAGGGCTAATTGAACAAACAATAGCAAAGCAAATAGATGAAGAGTTAAAATGACAAAGAGAAGATTTAATTAAATAATAATTTAAGAGTTACTCATGAAGAAAGAGTTCTTTAAATCAACCTTTCCCCTCTACTTTGCAAAATCAGTTTGGATGACTTGAGAGCTAAAATAATCTTCCCATCGTCTTCGTGTAATTGAGTTGAGTGTACAGGTATTCTCAGTTAACAACCACTCATTTAGCGACCTTCCCTGCCAACTTCCCACAAGCAAAATCAATGGGAAAGCTAGTGAGGAAGGTCACAAGTCATTCTCCTAAGTCACGGGTGTCAAATTTGCAACGTCATGTGATGTGTCGCAACGTATCACGACTCTTTTTACATTGCCGGCAGTGGGGTGGGCGTGGCTTCGGTATGATGAAACCGGCCCACGTGCCGGCAGTTTGACACCCCTGTCCTAAGTCATTCCCGTTCCCATCACTTTTTCTCCCAGGAGAAGCCCCCAGGTAGTAGGGTGAGTGTGAGCCCTGGGTGGGCAGGTAACCATTTGCCCAGCCACATTTGTACTGTGCTGCCTGACCCCTGGCCTTGCAGCACATGCTGCAGCAGTGGACCCCCTCCTCCATCCTGCAGCACTCCATAACCTTCACGGGCCCCCGTTGGCCTGCTTGTGAGCCCCTTAAAGGAAGGCTTGTTGTTCCCTAAGGCTTGCAGCTTCCTGCCTGGTCCCTCATTGATTGCTTGTTGGAAACTGGCAGGAATTCACAAGTCCCAGTCAGGTGAGGTCCTCACTTAATGGCCCACAATCCTTATGATGACAAAACAACTTCCAAGATTTGCCACTGCTTAAGCGATGAAGTCACATGATCTCAATCTTTATGGCTGCATCACTTTAACAATGTAAATTCCAGACTCAGTTGCTGTTGTTAAGTGAGGACCTACAGTTTCTCCTGTATATCTTCCTGAGATGTATCCACGCACTGCAGTCTAGGTGCCAGCTGATCACACTGAGCACTGTCGTACTGCATTCCAGTACTTGTATCACTGGTTTTCTGCAAGATGAAACTGTCCTTTGATCCTAGAAGAATTTTCACAAATCTTGTGTGTTATCTAGTACCAATTAAGTGCAACTCTATTGATACCTATTTTTTTCTTTTATTGCAGATATTACCGAATTTCTGCTTTTGGTTATTACGCTTACAGAGTGACCCAAGATGACATAATCTATAACTGTCTACCACTGTACCACTCAGCAGGTAGGCTGGTATTATGGCTGCATGTTTTTAGGATGGAGGTTGGCTTGGGCATTACCAGGGGGCACTCTGCTAATGTTCCCCAGGGTTCCTGGCAAGCATGTCTCTGCTGACTGTCTCTGCTGACAGTCTCTCTCTTTCTGTCTCTTAGGGAACATCATGGGTATCGGCCAGTGTGTGGTTCATGGTCTGACGGTAGTGATTAAGAAGAAATTTTCTGCCAGTCGCTTCTGGGATGACTGTGTGAAATACAAGTGTACAGTAAGGAGATCTCTGAACTCTTGCTTGTAGGCACCACAGTTAGTAAGTGGGAGCAAATGCAACTTTGGGGAAGGCTGCTTGGCAAGACAGTCACACATTAAAAAGAAAAATAAAGAACCAAGAAAAGGCAACGGTAACGGGATGTGGGCAAACTGAGAAATTACCTTGCTTACAATATAGTGGTGTAGTTTTTCATAGCTGGCATCAATGAAGCAGTCATGTGCTTTCAGGCTGAATGGCTGTAACCTAGTTTTCTTTTGCCCTGACCAGCCACAGGTGCTGGCAAAATGTCAGGGCAAAAGAAAAGTAGACCATGGCCGTTCAGTTGGAAAGTTCATCACTGCCTTATAATATCTCACTTACAGTTCAATGTAATACTTTAATAGGTTACTCCCAAAACTTTTTTGTCCAGCTTCTAGCCAATTGGTGTCTCAACCAGATTCAGAAAGGCTGGAAGCAATAGCAACTGTGCGTGGAAGGGTAATCACTAGTCCATCATTGAATCACTGCTATTATGAAGCTTTCTTGTTTAGATAATTGCAGGAAGTGGAGTTGAGGCATAACCAGAAGTCATTTATTGTAAATGCTACTAAACCTATCCATTAAATGCAGCTGCCGCAGAAACAAATTAATGGACATGGACACTGGCAGAGTTAAAGGTCCAGAATCTCAGTAGATTATGGCCCAGGAGCAGATCAACAGGCCTCTCAGAAGCCATCAATTTCACAGCATCGAGAAATAACCTCTTCATTTTCTGTAATGGAGATGAACCTAGTTTTATCTGCTTTTCCTGGCTATATGTCATTAAGCTTTTGTTGTTGCTGTAGTTTGGGTAGCATACTTCACTCTGCAGACCTATTGGGAACTTACTTTTTTTTTTTTTTTTTGGCAAAAGAAGGTTTCAATAGGAAATCCCTTGATTTACTGGCCATCCTTTCATAAGTGTGGCCATTTTGGGTAACACAAGCTTAAAAAGTGAAAAAGTCAAATCTGCTTCCTCTCAGTATCTTGCAAGCCACCCTTCAAGGCACCAAACTGACTTTGTCTTTCCTGTGCTTTGAGGTTTGAAACAAAGAGTAACCTCTATTCTAGTACTTTAATCCTTTATTTACTCTTTATTTAATCTTTAATTACTCTGTGAATAGCCAAATTTAAACATGCTTTTTGGACAATAACCCAGTAAACAAAAAAAGCTTATATTAAAAGAGTGGCTGTTCTTGAGCAATTTGCTTTTTCTGATGTGTTGTTAAAAGATTGCCTTTAAGTAAGAAGCAGGAAACATTTCTTGCAGTTTAGAAAAGTTAGGATTCTTCCACATGTTGGAATCCAACTCTATTATGGCTGATTGTAGTAAACAGGGTTAATAATACTTTTTATTGTTCAATTAACTTGTGTGATTTATTTAAAAAGATTTATTTAGCTGCCCATCCTCTATAGCAGTGGTTCCCAACCTTTTCTATACCCCGCATCCCTAGAACGCTCCTGATATATTCTTGCACCGCTTACAAAAGTTCAAAATAACGGCAACAAATTATGCATATACACTATAATATTGAAAACCCAAGATTTTGCACCCCCTGGAATATTGTCTCGCACCCCCAGGGGGTACAAGCACCCTTGGTTGAGAACCCCTGCTCTATAGCATAATCCTTAACATTTCACTGTAGTAATAAAATAGTAAAAACATAAAAAGCATTTTTAAAAGTCTTCTTGGCATTCACATCAGCTTGTAATTATGTTGTGGTTTTCGAGTGGAGTATGCAAACATTTATACATTCATGTGAACATTTAGCAGTACTATTTTTTAATGATTCCATAGTCAACCATGTTATCTTTCATTAGTTATCTATGTATGAAGAGAAATTTAGTTTGGAAAATGTTTAAATAATACATGGTTGTATCGACAAATTCTGTCTCAGAAAAAGCATCTTTTCCTATTTCTAAAACAGTGGTTTCAATCTACGAGTTGCAACTATTTCATTAATACTTTTTAAACAGACGGCTGGTTTTGATTAATCACATTTAAAATGTTTCTAAGTATTCTAATTATATAAACAAATCAGCTTTAGAAACAAAACAGAACTATTGGCATTTTGCAAACGCAATTACTTTTTCATTTTAAGCCAGAAAAACTCCTTAAGCAAATTGGATCAAGATGCAGTGTACCTTGAATAAGTTGCATTGTTATCCAATTTCCTCAGGACTTTGCAAGGTTACTCTTTCAAATTGTGTCTTTCTTTTCTTTTCAAAGATCATCCAATATATCGGGGAGATTTGCAGATACCTGCTGAACCAACCAGTGCGGGAGGCAGAAAGGCAGCACCAGGTGCGGCTAGCTATTGGAAACGGCTTGAGGCTCACCATTTGGGAAGACTTCACACAGCGCTTCCGAATCAAACAGATTGGAGAATTCTATGGGGCTACTGAGTGTAACTGTAGCATTGCTAATGTAGATGGAAAGGTAAATTGAGAAGTTGTCTTTCTATACTTCGGATATATATATATATATATATATTTATCAAGCTCTGCATGCAAGGACGGGGCAACGTTTGCAAAATCTGTAGCATGTGGGCTTTCTCAGCTTCACTTTTGCAGCCTGGGAATGTGCCATTTTCTGCCTAGCTGCCCATCTGCAATGAGGGAGCGTACCCTTTAAGACCACTTGGCTGGATGTCAGATGCTACAGTGCTGTGACTATATGAAGGGAGACAGCTGGGTTTTTAAAGTCACTGAAGAAGTGATTGGATTAGTAGGCAAATCCCTTCACAGAGAAGGTCACTATTACTGTAGATATGATAACTATTTGTTGACTCTTGGCAGGTTCAGTTACTACCCTGAAGCAGTTACTACTGCTTGTTACCAGTTGCTAATAGCATTCTCTCTTTAATGCTGTGGGCTTTTATCAATGTTTGTTTAATTTACAGGCTACAAAAACTGGGGTTGCAGTAACATGTTGCAATATATTCTATCCCTTAAGACGAATGTTCCTGATTAGAAGTCTAGGAACCATGGAGATCATTTTTTTTCTCATGCCAGACCTTAAGTCTTTCCTGTGCTGTGCTATGGAGCACTAGAGACTTTAGCCTGCAGGTTTATTGGTACATAGAAAATGGAAAACAAAGTGTTCTTTTTTTTTGTCTTTCCCCAAATCCCTTTATAATACAAGGAGGAGAAAACGTCACTTTTTTGATGAATATTGTTCTCCTTCAAATTTACATCCCATTCCTGGATTTTAAATACAAATTGCCAAGAACCTGAGCAGGCTAACATGGGGCCCCAATGAGGGCATCCCATTCTGGAGATGGCTAGTAGATTAGATGGAGATTCCACTTCCACCCCTTTTACAACATTGGTTCTTTTTACCTACTTTGCTGTTAATGTTAATGCCCAGTGTTTTAATATTTTTAACCTTCTAATTGTATTATTTAAGATGTTCAATAGTGAGATGGGCAGCATATAAATTCAATAAATTAATGTATATGCTGCCCATCTCACTATTGAGCATCTGGGTGGTTTACAGCGTCATAAAAACAAAGGTACAAACTATTAAAACATTCAATATTAAAATGAACAGAGATGAAATGTTAAAAAAAAACACAATACTACTAGGTGAAGGCATAATCTTTTGCTAATCTACCTCCAACACGGAATGTCCCCATCAGAGCCACAGGCCAATTGGTAGAGCCAGGTTTTGAGGCTCTTGCAGAAGGCCAAGAGGGTAGGAGCAGATCTCACCTCAAGGGACCTGATGTTCCAGAAGACAGGAACCATGGCAGAAAAGTTCCTTCTCCTGGACTCTGCAGGCCAGAATTCCTTGACCGATGGGGTCTGCAGGATGCCCTTTTCTGCCAGCGCAAGTGGAATGGGCCAGTCCCAATGTTCTTGTTTGCTTGGTCCCCTCAAGTCAATCTCACCATTTTGTAGAGCTTGGAAATTCACAGAATATTTTCCTAGTAAATAAACCTCCTTAGAGAAATGTATGCAGCTTTTGGAGGCCTCCTTTGTTTTAATTTTTTTACTCTTGACAGGTGGGAGCCTGTGGCTTCCATAGCCGGATTTTGCCAAATGTATATCCTATCCGCTTGGTGAAAGTTAATGAGGATACCATGGAGCTAATACGTGGCACAAATGGACTTTGTATCTCCTGTCAACCAGGTAAGTAAGTCTGAAAATGCCTTAATTGTGACTTGGAGAATAGAGGTTCCTACACAATGCCAATTGTCCAGGAGTATCGCTGGTCTGGATATTGTTTATTATTATTGTGCCCAAATTAATCAAGGGCAGGAGAATTTACAGGACCGGAGAGGCGACTTTTTGATCTGCTTCTTAGGCAAATACAAGTAGTCCTTGCTGGACAATAGTAATTGGCACTGGAATTGCTCTCATCAAGTGATGTGGTTGTGAAGTGTGATGTCACATTAACACATCACTTAGTGAAGGCAGTTCCTGCACTTCTAGTGGCTATTATTAAGCAAGTTCCATACAGTTGTTAAGCATGACACCCCATGGTCACTGTTTGCAACCTCCTGCTGGCTTCTCCCATTGACTTTGCTTGTGAAGGTTGCGAATGGCAATTAATATTTGTGACCCCAGACACTGCAACATTGTTACTGCAAGCCACTCACTAAACTCCCAGATCATGATCCCATAATAGTTGTAATTTTGGTTGCTGAATGTTGTTAAACGAATGGTTGCTGAAGGTTGTTAAACGAGGACTATCTGTATGCCATTATAAAGACAGGAGATGAAAAAGCATCGATGTTCAAGAGTACAAAGCCTTTTGCCCATTCGCCATGAACAATATTTAATCGTGTTTTAAAACTATCTCCACAATCTGAATAGTTGAAAGGTGGCAGATAAGTAGGTAAGCAAATGTGTAAATGAAGTAAAGCAAATGACAAATGGAAACTTGTGAAATAACAAAGTTAATCACTGATATTTGAAGAGAAAAAAAAAAGAATTAAATATATATATATTTAAGAGAGGCCTAAAGAAGACAGGCTGAGTAGACATGGAAAACACAGTATCATATAGAAAGGATAAAAGCAATTAAATTAAGAAAAATACTAAAGAAAAGGTTACGATACATAGCCAGCGATTCAGCTTAGCAAATTAGTTAATTACAGGTTATATATGTCATCTGTACTTTGATTTACAGATTACAGATACTCATGAATTTTGTTTGGGCTGCATTTGAAGTAGATGGGTCTTGATTTGAATTTCCTTGACCAATTGAGATTCAGAATATAACTTTCTTTTTAGTTCTTTTTTTTGGGGGGGAGAGGGGAGCTCAAAAGCAACCATTACAAGAGAATGTACTTTAGGGGCAAGACACATTTAGAAATATATATTTAGGAGAGGATGAGTTTGAAAATACAAATACACAATCCTTTTAAAAAATCTTACTTTATAATGGAATCAAATAACATTTTATATTGAGTATGCACTTTTAAAAAAATCCAGCATTTATTTCAGTCCTGCAATTTTCAGCTAGAGTATTGCTGCAGAAGACTTAAAGATGCGTTAGGATAGTAAGAGACAAAATTTAAATGAAATGACTATTCGGTAAGATTCTTAATCAGATCAGTTATAGAACTGCTAGATGAAAAGAAGTAAATTGTAATATTTGTGTCTCAATTTTTGTTGCAATGTTGTGCCTAAGGTAATAGCAAATATAAAGAATCCATCCAGGTATCCATAATGCTGTAACACAGAATATATTATTTTTTTTTTAAATTCTTCCTTTATTTAGGAGAACCCGGACTTCTTGTGGGCAGGATAAACCAAGAAGACCCCTTGCGGAGATTTGATGGCTATGTCAATCAGAATGCAACTAACAAGAAAATAGCTTATAATGTCTTCCAAAAAGGAGATCAGGCTTATCTTACAGGTATTCTTCATGCAGTTGTCTTGGTCCCTTTGTGTTCTAGAAGGATAATTTTGTAATTTTGAATTATTCATATATTATAGTCAAACTTACAAAATTATGTAGTACAGTGATGGCGAACCTTTTAGAGACCGAGTGCCCAAACCGCAACCCAAAACCCACTTATTTATCGCAAAGTGCCAGGGCCGCATCAGCATTGTGGTGCCCTCAGGGGGGCAGCGGGGGGCATGGCCTACTGGGTGGGTGTGGCTGTGGTGGGCATGGCTTCAGTGGGCGTGGCCACCTTGATGTTGCTCATGGGGGGGACGCCTGTGGGGGCTGGGCAGGATTGGGGGAGATCCAGGGGGTCTTGTGGGTGGGGTGGTGGGCAGGAGGCTTTTCCTGCAGAGTGGGGTAGGGGTGCCATTGCTGCAGGGCAAGGCGAGGCAGGAGCGGCTGCTGCCTGACACCATCGGCCCCCGCACACAGAGGCCAGCGAGTGCATGGGAGAGTGCTCTCTACTACCTCTACTCCAGCTTGCTAGCCAGCCGCTTCGCCTTTGTGCTGGGTGGGGCTGTTGCTCTGGGCACCGGCAGCAGCCTAATGGACCTGTGCAAGATGCTGGTGGCATTGGCAGGTGTGCCCACAGAGAAGGCTCTGAGTGCCGCCTCTGGCACGCATGCCATAGGTTCGCCATCACTGATGTAGTATCTAAGTTCCTCAGAAATTAAAGACATATTCAGATATTTGAAATTCTTCCTTAAGCATAGACCTGTGGTCGTATTTAGAAGAAATAATATCTGAACCTGAATAAAATCACTTAATGCTACGATGAATCCAAAGTTGTTGCTTCTTATGCATGATGATTCAGGGAAGCAGTATTTTGTAAACATCCCAATACTGTTTGTTCACTTACTTTAACTTAAAACCATTGACAATGGCTTAAAAGCACAATGCAGTGCAAATAAAACACTTTTATTGCCTAAGTTTATTTATCAACATTATTGATTTTGCTCTGTTTGGGGATGAATAGAATTACTTTCCAGTATGGATGGAGGTTGTTCTTCTACAAGGAGTTTCTTGATTTGGTTCTGGCCATCATTCCTGGGAGATAGTTTAGGTATAATGTGGATGGTCTTTCTCTCCCATTTACCGAACCATTTTTCCATGTTTGTTCTTGATCCATGTGTTGTATCGGTAATTGGGAAACAATATGCTTATTGTATTCTAGTCCTCATTTGTTGAAGGGGGCGCGATGGCTCAGCGGTTAAAGATACTGAGCTTTTCAACTGGAAAGCTGACAGCCCGTGTTCGAGACCCAAGCGCCGCGCAATGGGGCGAGCTCCCGTTCTTGCCCCAGTTCCTGCCCTCCTAGCAGTTTGAAAGCATGCAAATGAATAGGCTCACAGGTATCACTATGGTGGGAAGGTAACAGTATATTCCGTGCTCTTTTGGCATATAGCCATGCTGGTCACATGACCACAGAAAATGTCTTGGACAATGCTGGCTCCCCCAGGGAAGAAATGGAGATGAGCACCGCGCTCTAGAGTTGGACACAACTGGACAGAGAAACGTTTACCTTTACCCTCATTGGTTGAACTCCCAGCTGGAAGATACAGTTTGGCAGAAGCACAGGCTTCGCGATACATACTGAAATCCTATTCTTCCTGCAGGAGATGTCCTAGTGATGGATGATCTCGGCTATATGTACTTCAAAGACCGCAGTGGGGATACATTCCGCTGGCGTGGGGAGAACGTTTCCACCACAGAAGTTGAGGGAATCCTCAGCCATATTCTCAGCAAGACAGATGTGGCCGTTTATGGGGTAGAGGTACCAGGTAATTTAGAATTTAAAAACTCAGCAAGCAAGTCTGTCAAGTTCAAAATCAGTGGATACTGTTGGGTTTGGAGATGGGAGATACTGTATAATAAAAAACAACAAAGGCAGCTCAAAACATACACCTATCGTAACACTGAAAATCATTAATTTATATGTATGTAAGGGCTGAAAAAATCTGGAACAGTAGCCATAGAGTAATAGAGAGTTAAGGGTACAAGCTGTTACGACGACAGATATATTGCAGGAAGTCCAGTTATTTTCCAGTGGTATTCATTCTGAGACTTAAGCAAAAGCAGCTGTCTGAACAGATGTAAAACAGGCAAAAATGACCCTTAGTAGAATGAGAAGTTGATCCTCTTCTGTTTAATGGCAAGGTGTTTTACTTTGCTGTGTCAACAGCATCTATTGCTCCTTGAGATGCCTCTTCTGTGTTAGCTCACTTGTTTGAACAAATAGTTATTACTTTTGGTCTTAGAGCAAAAAGCAACATAGAGGATTTGTTTGTTTTGTTTTGCAAAGTTGCTTCAACCTTCCACATGGAGAATGTATGACAGGAAACAGCTTAGGTGAATTATTTGATGTAATTGGCTGAGTTATTATACATTTATCCCACTTTCTAGCCACTGAGTCTCATCATATAAATTAAATATTAGTGCACTGCGCTAATGGGGAACAGGTGCCATGCACAAATGGAAGACCCAGAATCTTCTGTGGTGGTTTACCAAGTAAGAACTTTGGTAAGAGAATACAAAAGGGAAGTGAGGCAGGAAAAAGAGGGTGAAGAAACAAGTTGCAATAAATATTTGCAGCCTATTAAAATCATTTGATATATGGTTGCTGCAATAGCTGGCTGGTGTTAGTCAAATAGGTCTTCCTGTTGCAGTCACAGATCCACTGACAAATGGAAGAGAGTTATTTAGAAAAAGGAGAAAAGCAAAGTCCCTCCAGTGCTTATTCTCTGCAGCTAGGCTCTTTAGCTGTGGAGCTGGGGTGCACATCTGGATTGGATCTCCAGCTGTGCATTAGTTGGCTGCCAATGGCTTCTTTGTGAAAATGTACCTGTTAGAGTGGGCAGTCGTTATCATTTTGCTTTATGCTGGTCTGTGACCATAATAAAAATTTGATATAATTTTGCTTATTTCCTTTTTTCAATTTTAGGAGTAGAAGGCAAGGCTGGAATGGCAGCTATTGCTGACCCAAAAGCAAAACTGAATCCTAACATTCTGTATTTGGAGATACAGAAAGCATTACCTCCATATGCACGGCCTATCTTCCTCCGATTTCTGCCACAGGTTGACACCACAGGTAATACAGACTGAAAAAGGTGCCTAAGTTTAAATTAAAGGACCAAGGTGGGATATATAATAGATACTAAAAAGGTTTAATAGAGTATTTATTTTTATTAAATCTATTTGCTGTCCATGTCGCCACAAGGTGATTCTGGGTGGTTTACAATATTAAAAGTGATAAAATCATAATAAGAATACAAAATTATAATTAAAAGATGGGAGGGGAGGGAGCAAGATGAGGGGAGGGAGAGGGGGGATCTATTATTATTCTATTATTACCACCGTAGCTATCTTTTAGCATGTGTTTTATGGCCAACCTTTCTCTTTTACTTCTAAACATTAATTGTTTTGCTCTGTACCTGTCTTTGAAATAAACCTTGAAGGAAGTCAGAAACGTGTGTTCCAAAGTAGATAACTTCCTACTTTACTAGATAGTCTGGTGATATCAGAGATGGAGTATTTTCCTTGATTGGACAAAGCACTAGACTCCACAAAGAGGTTGTCTTTCAATTATCTTCCATATTCTTTTAAACTGAAGGTGGTACTCTAGACATATGAGAGGGAAAAAAGGAGAGTCTGCCTAACAATATTCAGATAGAACGTCCAGATTATCTGATCTGCAGTGAACATGAAACGTGCCCTGATATTCAAGAGCAGGTTTAGCTAATCTTTGTGTGTGTGAATGTCACGTTCCTGTATTCCCTCCATTTCTTAATAAACTCAGACATTTGGTTTAATTGTTTTTTTTAAAGGAATTGTAAGGGCTTGTCCACATGAAAGATCATGCAATTACATAGTCACCTTTTGTGAACTGGCATTAGGTTTGTTGTTCTGGGCTTTGGACGAGAAGATTCAAAGCACTTTTGATTTTTTGAGAGCTGGGATGAAGGGAGGGCAAAAAACTCCTCAGTTAGACAAACAAGGGTATGAGCTCACTGTCTGATGGCAGCATTTCATAATTCTTTGACTGGGAATCTCTTGGAAGAGGAGGTCCACCAGTGAGATTTAAGTTATCCTCCAGTTTCTAACAAATAACTTTGTGCAGTCTAAACAAGCATTCCCTTTCTTTCTTTGCTAAAGTAACTGATCTAAAGTAACTGTACAAACAGACATTATTTTATTTTGGAGATAAACATTAAAAACATGAATCGTTTGTTATGTATGAGATGGGAGTTCTCCAACCAAATACACCCCAGCTTCTTTGTAAGAATGGCTATGGGCCTATAGTCCAAACCAGTCCTTTTCAGTTGTACTGTAGTGGCCAAATGACTAAGATACCGCATTTTGCATTGCAGATGTTCATCTCCTTTTCCCAACCCTTCTTTTTTAATTCCTCTTCTTAGCAGGAGAAAAACCTTTGTCAGGAGGTAGTCATTCTTACCTCACAGAAGTAATCTTCCTCTGAATTTTGCTCAGTTTTGAGTTGTGACTGGAATTCACAGCGATATGTTTTGATAATGAACCCTGGTGGCTCAGCAGTTAGAATGCAGTATTGCAAGCTGACTCTGCCCAGAGCCTGGTGTTTGATTCTGACGAGGCTCAAGGTTGACTCAGCCTTCCAAATTTGGCAAAATGAGGGCCCAGATTGTTGGGGGCAATATGCAGACATTGTAAACAGCTCAGATAGTGCTGTAAAGCATTATGGGTGGTACATAAGTCTTAAGTGCTATTCCTATAGCCTTGTTTTTCAAATAAAACATCTTCAGTCTGATCCTTGTCTTTGTACTAAGTGCTACTCCTTGCTTCAGAATGGGACAAAACTCGCCACAGCCAAGTCTCTACGGCCACCTTGCCGCGGGACAATTCACTAAGTACAAAAGTTAAATTAATTTCAGTGGAACCGTGGCCAATAATAATCATAATAAAAAGAAAGTCAATCCAGAAATGCAAAAGTTACAATAATTTCAATGAAAGCGTGGACACCTGTAAAAGCAACTGAATGAAACAATTAATTTAGCATTGAATTGTCCCTCAGCAAGTTGGCTGTGGCGAGTTGTCCTAGAGCTAGACCTCCCTTGCCTTGCCTCTTTTTGCATGTCATTGTCAACAATCTGTTTCTGTCTTCTTTCTTTTTCCACTAGGCACTTTCAAGATTCAGAAGACCCGTTTACAAAGGGAAGGCTACAATCCACACCAGATGTCGGATCGGTTATACTTTTTGGATGTGAAACTTGGCAAGTACCTACCAATAGATGAGTGCATTTTTGAGAGGATCCAAACTGGAAAAATGTCTCTTTGATTTAATTGGTGAGAAGACGCATAAAGATCCTGATGTCGAAAGGTCTTGTTTTGGTAGAGAAATAGACTTGAATAAATAAGCAAAACAAGATTTTAATATGCAACAGGGAAAAACCCCACTATGATGTGAGAGCAAGATGGTTTTCCTTCCTTCCTTTTTTTTTTTTTAAAAAAAAAAGCACATTAACCATTTCCAGAACTCTTTTTGTATTGTTCAATTTTTAGAAAGGCCTTTTTCTTCCTTAATAACTATTGTGATAGGGAATTCCATATGAAAATGAGAATGATTTCTGATCTGCATTATTAAATGTCCTCAATATGCCAGGGATGACTAAACCTGTTGTAGCAAAACTGATCAAATTATTTTCTTCTGTGTTAGTTGGCTATATTTCATTGTTAAAACAGAGAATAATTGTTTGGGATAAAGACTTCAGTTGCTTTAGACTTTTCAGGTTCCAAACATACAAATTTAGAGTTCCTCCCATTGTTTCTTTGTAACTTTATTTGTAGCTTTAAGGAACTGACTGTCAAAATGCAACAGTTTTATGTGTAGAAACTTGATGTTGAATAGAAAAACCAGAAACAGAACTAATCAGATGAAATAACAGTATTATTTTTTTAAAACGATATATAAGTATATTGAAAATAAGTTGGTTCGGAAACTCTTCTTGAAATGTTCTCTGGATGCTCTTTTAGCAGAAGGATATTGTGGTACTTCAAATTCCACTTACCTACAGCATATCAATTGGCCGTTACAGACTATACCCTGTGGGAAAATAATTGATGTATGTTCTTTTAATCTATTTTAAATCATCTTATTTAAAACGAACGTTAGTTTGGAGGAATGGGATATTTCAAATAATTATTTGACTGCTCCAGAATCTTGAAAAAAACAGTTCCATTAAACCCTGAAAGGAGTGGATGTCTGATGCTGTTCAGTCTTTGGACTTACTCATTTCTTGTGACCAGCATAGGAAGCATGTCAGCTCATCAAAGACCATTTGCAACACATTTCTCACACTGATCTTCCAGCAATATCTGATTTGGACATTCATAACTTTGCTTCATTAGTGCCATTTGGGTAGATGGCACTAAGAATTTGTATAAAGACGATACAAATGGACTGCTTGAATTTTGACTGCCTGCCTGTTCAAAGAAGCTGTAATTCTTGGGACACAGTGATATGGAAATATTCTGTTACCAATGTATACACTACTGGCCTGATATATGATTGTGAATAAAATGTTTCAGGTACCCTGAATCACTTAAGATCAAATTAATTTTCCTTGATATTTTTCTCTTTGGCAGAAATAGAATTTCATCTAAGAGTATTTTACAAAGACATGTACAGAACAATGTTATTTTATATTTCTGAGTACTGTACGCCAAGTATTGTTCTAGCCAGGCAATTGATAAATAAGTTTAGAAGCCATGGGAGTCATCTGTTTCCCTTTTTTAATTAATTATAAGACCCAGAATGTGCCTTTTCCAACTTCTCTTCAGAACGAGTTAAAACAAGTTAACAATTTTGTTATGAACATAAGATGTATTAGTTGTTGCATAAATAAACATTACCTACAGCTAACTGATCTGATCTGGAGAAAAAGATTTGTTTAAAAAAGCAAACAAAAACTAATTTTGCGCCTGGTTTTGCGAATCATGCATTGTCTAACTGAATTTTTTGAAGCAATGTTACATTTTGTTATTGGAGTCACTATTGCCAAAACATAACACTGATTTGAGAAAAACCTTATAAGAATAAAGAACCTTAAAAGAACTCATTTCTGCGTTATGTGCATATCTATTCTGTTAATGAAAATGTTCCGTGTGTTTGTCATTTCATGTTCAAGTGTCTGCTGTTTGTTCTGTCAGTTTTATTAACCTGGCCAAACGGTACTAGCCAAGCAAAAAAGTCACCACTCAGTATAGCTCTTATGTCTCCCTAGTTTGCATAAAAATATAAATTTAGTAAAGGATTTACCTCAAGCCATACAGTAGGTCATTGATACAGGGATGGGCAATAAAACTATTTTCTTGCCAGCCCAATCCATGTTGCAATCCCAAAGGCAAGATGCCCATCTCCAAATTAATGTTTTGTTCCAAGAAATATAACTTGTACAAGGGGTTGACCCAAAGCAAACATCACAGCTCTGAAGTCAGACTTCACATCTACTTTCAGAAGCTTTTGGTTGGGAGCTAAATAGCCCCCACTTCTTGGAAGTAAACTTTCTTGGAACACAAGAAGCCTTGCTTCCAAATAAAAATAGACATGACTGTAACGTAAGCTGTACCTTTGCAAAACATATCACTCTTCCGTCAAACTGGATCTTCTATAGTCTTTCTACCCAGTAAGCATTCGTGTCTATTCTAGACTTCCCTCAAGAGACTGATTTGATTGAAATGATGTTGCATTTTTCTGAGCCGCTCAAGTCCCATTGATCTCAATTATTTTGTTAAATCTGGTTCTAACATTGCTTTAATGTTAATTTAATTTACCACACTTAGAGACATAAAATCTCTTTCCCCCCCTCCGCCCGCTTATCTTGAGAGCAAAGGCCTATCATTTCAAGTAGACACAACCACACTTAACAATTTTCAATCCTAGCCAAATGGGGATCTGAGGGCCACAAAAACAGATAAGTTACTAGTTGTCTACTTCAGTGTATATGTTTATGTATAGGATTCTGTGTAACTTGAAACTTATAAAACCTTTGAACTATAATTTTAAAAGTCTTTTCCCAATCCTTCTCAACATAGTGTGTTTCTCCAAAATGTACCTATCTTGTTTAGGGACAGTTTGTTTTTCTTTTCTCTTTTTATTCCCAGGGCATTTACAAGTATGTTTCCTATTCAATCCAAGTAATATGGCAATATCTAATCTCTGAAGTTTGTTAACTGGAGGCAAACTCTAACTAAACAAAATGGCACAGCTAATTTGCATTTCACCTCAGTATGGTTTTGCGGTATGCTAACTTTGCTTGCTCAGGAAATGTATGCTTTCTTCTACTAAACATGTCAACTTCACATCAGAGTCACCCTAAATTTTCTGTGCTGCCTGATGAGGCTGTTATTATGGAACTGCTGTTTCAAACACAGGCTATATACATTGCCCATTTACGAAGATTAAGTAAACTAGTTTACTCAACCCAGTTTTGGATTTTACCAATATCCTGAACCATAAACAGATGACAAGCTAAAATTTAACAACACAATAGGCTTGAAGATAAATTTCAGAAGATACTAGAGCCTTCAAAATCATAGCCTGATGTTTCTTGTTATGATAAATTATTCCTAATGAAATGGCTTTAATAATTAATTCAGTCAGTCTGAGTTAAAAGCTAGCTACAAGATAATCTTAAAAAAAAAAAACCCTTCAAAATTTTGATTTTGAATAGCTGGTGCCCAAAGTGACAATATTTGGAAAATGCTAGTGTTTCTATTCGACCCGGTTAATCAAAGACCTGAACGTTACCAAATTAAAATAAGAAAACCCTCCTACCAATTCCAGGACATTGGCTTTGGTGCAATGGTTAAGGTGTTGGCCAGTAAAGACAGGCCCACCTAGGTTCAGGCCCAATTTGGGGCCACCTGTCAGCCCTATTCAACCTTACAGAGTTCTCAGGAAAGCTAAGAGAGAGAGTCTTATTATAAACCTTATGAAATAAATCCCCCTTTCTTACCGTCTTTGCCTTTCATCCTTGATTTCCCGCCCCACATTAGACCTCTAATGAAGAAAACTCAAAGGAACTCCAATATGGCCTCAACTTTAATCCACTATTTCATTTCGTAATGCAGCCAAACGAAACTCTTTGGGTCCATTGCAACTTCTATTTTCGTGTTCTCTGCAGTATGTAAGAATTCCGCCTGCCAATAAATATAGGGGGAGTGCCGGCTTCACGGGCTTCCGGTGGCTTCTTGCATATGTTTCCGCCGCTTTTGCCCTTTAACTCCTCCTTCAAAGAAGAGCGTTTCCGCCCGCGTGCCATTGACGACTGCGGTCGCTTCCGCCCGGGCTTGCTCGCCTGCTCACCATGGGTCCCTCTCGGCTTCGCTGCCGGGTTTTTTCGTTCCTCCTCTCAGCTGCCGCCTCACCTCACTCGCCATGCCCGGCTCTTCGGTGCCACGGCGCGCTCCGGCCGCTGCAGCGTCGCCGCCTCCCCAAATCTCGGTCTTCCCTTCGCCGCAGGAGCTGGGCTCGGCGCTGGCCCAGCTGGTAGCGCAGCGGGAAGCTCAGTCCGGCCCGGGTGGGCGCTTCTCCCTGGGCCTGTCAGGTGGAAGCCTAGTGCGGATCTTGGCTCAGGAGCTGCCCGCGGCCGCTGCCTGCCCTGCCCGGTGGCTCCTGGCCTTCGTGGACGAGCGGCGGGTCCCGCTGAACGACCCCGAGAGCAACTTCGGTGCCTACAAGGTGTCTCTCCAGGAGGGGCGAGGGGGGCCTCAAGGAGGGTCGGGGTGGGTGCTGGGGCTGATCCCTGGGGCGGGGCGGTGGGGGGGGCGTGTTTCCTTGGCCGCGGCTCTTCTTCCCGGCCAGGAAGGCTGGGCGTGAACTCCCTCGGGTGATGCCGGTAAACCTGAGACTGCAGGAGGGATGGGCTGGTGGCTGCTTTAGGCTTTGATCTTCCATTTTTTTCCACCTGCAGTCCCCGCGGATTGCGATACCTGTCCACACTGCTTCACACACACCCCCCCAAAAAAAATAACTCTTTTTTTTCCCCTTTGGTGCTGCAAACGCCTTGCGGAGCCAGACTGAAATCTCCTTTGTTCAGCATCCTATCTGTGACGCCCCCCCTCAGCAACCATATTTGCTGCTTTTCGCTACAAAAAGCTGGAGCAGATTAATATGAGCCTGTGTCGTTTCATACCCTAAAACCCAAGCCATGCGTGGAGCTGTATGAAATCTGCCTGTGAATCTGTATTGGAAAACAAGTGTCTGTAGCTTGTTGCTTAATTTTTTTTAGGGTGGGATGACTTCCGTTTGTCTGCCTGGGCCACTTCTTCTTTTTAAGTAAAAACTCTGTAGTTTGCTTATGGGTATTAAATTTACATAGCAGGAATACCTGTTTAAACTATAGCAATTTAGTGTATGGATGCTCACATTAAAAATGTGCATATTTAATATTAGGTTGCAATCTAAACAGCCTAGAATCTTTTTGTCAGACGGGGATTCAATTGACTGTCAAACATATTGATCAATGGGCAGATGGTGTGTTAGTTTACATTCTGTCTACTTTTGTGGAAAAGTAAGAAATCATTCCTGTTCTTTTGTAATCTAACAATTGGACCAAATCATTTGCCGAAGGAGAAACTCCCAGATTCTGGAAGATTTACCTTGTCCTCCCGTAACCTCAATACTCCAGGTGTAAATGAGCTCTGTTTAGGAATACAGGTAGTCCTCTACTTATGACTACAGTTGAGCCCAAAATTTCTTTTGTTAAGCAAGCATTTGTTAAGTGAATTTTGCCCTATTTTACAACCTTTCTTGCCACAGTTAAGTGAATCACTGCAGTTGTTAAGTGAGAAACATGGTTGCTAAGTGAATCTGGCTTCCCCATTGACTTTATTTGTCAGAAGGTTACAAAAGATGATCACATCACCCAGAACACTGCAACCATCATAAATATGAGTCAGTTGCCAAGTATCTGAAATTTGATCATGTGACTATGCTGTAACGGTTGTAAATGTGAAAAATGGTCATAAGTCACTTTTTAGTGCCTTTGTAATTTCTAACGGTCACTAAGTGAACTGTTGTAAGTCAAAGACTGCCTGTAATGACCATGACAAAGTTACCTTTTTTTTTCTTGATAGGAGTCTTATATCTTTAACTGCTACATGGAAGATCACAGTTGCACAAGGGAAATATATGCTAGCGTGGAAATACAGCAATGGAAAGTTCATTTGTGGGGTGTTTATTTTCTTATTTTTATTACACGAGTAAGAATCATGGCACTTACAAGCAGGAGGAAAAAAACAATCAAACCCAAGTTGCACGGAGCTTACAATTATAGCGAAAAAAGAAAGCGAAATAGGAAGAAGTGCATGTCATAGATTTGATTTCATAGATTTGATCCTGCTCTTATTCTGCCAGAGGAAACAGATTCTATGAGATTGCATAGAATGGAAATTTATCCCCTATCTATTTCATCCGATTTCAATCCCTGCAACATTCTTTTCCCATTCTTAAAGGGTCCTTCTGTTCACTAGGATGGTTTTTGGGGAGTATAATGATAATGCAGTAGATGCCTTCTATTCCCCTCCCCCCTCAATTTGTCCTCCTAAACAGCAACCTCTCCTTTCTATGAGAGTCTCATCTCAATTCCAACCTGTTTTTTGTGTCTGTGTGAAAGCAGAGCAAAAAATATAAGTAAGCATGACCATAGTTACTTTTGTCATTCTGTAATACGATTTGTACTTTCTTTCAGACATACCTCCTTTCTAAAATTGCTATACCTGATGACCAAATAGTTGTTATCAATCCTTCGCTATCTGTAGAAGAGGCAGCGGCAGATTATGCTGAAAAGCTGAAAAAGGTACGGCTGGGAGTTGGTGTATTTTTATTTGCCACAGATGGTCAGATTTTCTTGCAGGGCGCTAGTAACTTAAAGGCAAAGTACAGTGGTTGGAAATGAGATTAAATCCTAACTGGATTTTTTTTTCTCAAGAATTCCCTATTTTCAGTAGCTCCTCCTGGTTTGATCTGCTGTTTTGCCGTTCAGTACTGATAAAAGTTCTCCAATGTTTGACAAAATGCTGATGAGCCACTAACTTTGAATATAAGTTCATGACACAGTTTTGAGCCCAGACCTGTAACAGGCCTGCTCATTGTAAATTTCTGGCTGATGTCCTTTCAAAGGCCTTGGACAAACTGAACAGTTACTGGCAAGCTGATCAATGTAGATTAAAATGAAAGTATGATGAATGCAGTTATTACAAC